TATACTTGTCTTCCCAACCATATTCTTACCTCTGCGGCTCAACTTGGATGGCCTCCTTTTCCCCTCAGCAAGGCCCCTGGCTTTGGACAAGAAGAGGTTTGTGTTGGAAAGTGTAGGGCTTGTCCTCATTTCCCTTGTGGGTGCAATATCTATACCAAATATTTGGGTAGCTTTTGAGTTCACAGGAGCAACAATGGGAGGGTTACTTGCATTTGTGTTTCCTGCTTCCATCACTCTCAAGTGAGTTCTTTTTCATTCTTAATTCAGCTAGAAACTCGCTTATCTCGATATCGATTTTTCTAATTCATTTTTCTCTGTTAATCTGGTGTTTCAGGGACCCTCATTGTATAGCTACTACCAAGGACAAGATTGTGTCAGTCTCCATGATCATTCTTGCAGTAGTTTCAAACGTCATGGCCATATATAGCAATCTGAGCTCTTTGTTGTCCTAACTGAGAAGAGCACTTGGTGCCTTGGCCAAATGGAACAAAAGCCAAAAGAAAAAGTGACATTGAATTTATTCATGAATTTAAGGATAAATTCACTTATTTGTTCTTTGAAAGTGAAGACAATTTGTTTTATTTATTTATTTATAAACTTACTTGAGATTGTTGTACAAGTTTCAATGTGATTGTCGTGTCGTACTAAATAACTTGGCCAACCATGCCACGTGTCGCAATTGAAACCTCCTGCAGTTTCAAAGAGTATGTCCTGAGGCTGAGAGAGAGAAGCTTCCATTATTGTCTATCGTTTTTGTATATGACTTTTGCCTAGGTGCTGATTACCCATCTAACTAAACTTCATGTCGTATTCACCACCAACGATGGAGGCCTTCCAGTCAAATGGGAACACTCATTCATGTATTTTTGTATTTTTGTTTGACTAGCAGCTGAACAGCCTTTGCTTTAATACTTTAAAAATTTGTCTTCTAAATTCAGAGTTTTTATCTACTTTTCTTCTGTTTGTCTACCTATAAGAACCAGTTGTTTATTTTATTTAGATTCTATAGAAACCAAATTTGACCTTTTGTTCTTTTTTCTGTTTTCAATTCAACTTCTTGTTGCCAAGAGAGATTATGTTCAATATTGTTGAGTTCCACTAGGAAGAAAGCCATTCATTTTAAGTACTTGCAGTTTTTGATTCTTTGGTCTTGAATTTTATATCAAGATTTTATAACCCAATTGTCACTTTCATTACTATTGTTAAGTCCTGCACCAAATTTTCAATCTAGTTCGAACCAAATTTTCGATCTAGTTCGAAACAGAGTTGTTTTCTGTTTAGTAGTTTTGCATTGCAGGCAGCACATTAGGTGATTCTTTTGGGAATTTATAAAATTTCTGCTTGCTAACTGATTGTATATTGAGCTCTCAGAGTGATAAAATTTGAAAGCTCTGATTTTGAAGTAGTGAGTGAGCCATTGGAATATGAGTACATCACAAAGTGAACACCAATTGGTTGATGAGAGGACCCTTTTGTTGCCCACAAGCCAAAATGAAGAAGCTCAAGCTGGGTTTGGCAAACCCAGCAGAGGAGCTTCTTTTCATGGGTCTGTGTTCAATTTGTCCTGCACAGTTATTGGTTCTGGAATTATGAGCCTGCCTGCTACCTTGAACATATTGGGGCTCATCCCAGGGGTTGCTTTGATCATCATAGCTGCATTCTTAACAGAAGCATCAATTGATTTTTTGCTGAGATTCACCAAGCCTGGTTCAGCATTTTCTTATGGTGATGTCATGGGTGAAGCCTTTGGAAAAGTTGGGAAGGTTTTGCTTCAGCTTTGTGTTATTATCAACAACATTGGTTCTCTTACTGTGTATATGATCATAATAGGTGAAATTTCAATGCTTTTTCTTCTTCTGTTATCATTTACCAATTTTTGTCAAGGCTCAAATATTATAGGCATTCTGTTCCAGATAAAATCATGCTAAGCTTCTTGGTTAATTCTATTTTTTGGTTACCAGAGGATGTTCTTTCTGGCTCAACTTCAAATGGAGTTCACCATGCTGGTATTTTGGAAGAAAGCTTAGGGGTACATTGGTGGACTGGACGTGCTTTCGTTCTTATTGTCCTAACTGTTGTCGTAATTGTTCCATTGATATGTTTTAAGCGCATTGGTTAGTATATCTTCCCTTGTTAATTTTTCTGTTTGGCATAGAATAGCTGTACATAGAGATTTACCAACAAGAAGACCCTTTCAAATTTGCCTGCAGATTCACTGAGGTTCACATCAGCTATATCGATTACGCTGGCAGTTGTTTTTCTTGTTGCTGTCATCGTAATCACAGTGTACAAATTAATACTGGGAAGCATAGAGGCACCTGCATTGTTTCCTAGTGTTACTGGTCTGACTTCCTTTCTAAATCTCTTCACTGCATTTCCTGTTGTGGTTTTTGCTTATGTCTGCCACTACAATGGTAAGCAAGTTGATCCTCTTCTTATAAACCAGTCTTCTTTCATGCACAGTATTTGTAGGAAAGTGATCATCAAAACATAATTATACACTTGCAATCTGCATCCACATTATATAATCTGATATCTGGTGTGATGTCAAAATATAAATGAGCAGAAAATTCAGCAAGTTTCTGAAGATGCAATATAAGTTAAATGACTGGGAAGATAAGTTTCTAACTATCTATTACTGGGAAACATCTTTGATCCTGCCTTCAGCAATGTCTCTCATATCATATCCTTGTCTATATATCTCAATTTCCAAAACTTCAAGTTGAGATCCAGCCATTTTATTTTGATGCAGTTCATAGCATACAAAATGAGCTTGAAGATTCTCGAAGGATGCCAGCCATTGTGCAGACTACAGTTGCTCTCTGTGCCTTTGTGTATGTGATGACCGGCGTGTTCGGGTTCCTCCTGTTTGGTGAATCAACTCTTTCTGACCTTCTCTCCAACTTTGACACAGACCTTGGCATTCCATACAGCTCTGTCTTCAACGATATAGTTCGTATAAGTTACACAGGCCACATCTTACTTGTATATCCCATTGTTCTTTTTCCCCTGCGCCTTAACTTGGACGGCCTTCTCTTCCCCTCAGCCAGACCGTTGGCTTCAGACAACGTGAGGTTTTCGTTGATCAGCTCAGGGATCGTTGCCATCACCCTCTTGGGTGCAATATTCATACCAAGCATATGGGTGGCTTTTGAGTTCACTGGAGCAACTGTTGGAGCTTTGCTTGCATTCATCTTTCCTGCTTGCGTTGTTCTCAAGTGAGTTTTATCTTTTTACTTTCTGCTAGAATTTCTTGTATTTTAATCTTCACATTTGGTTTTGATCTTTTGTTTTTCAGGGACCCTCATGGCATAGCATGGAAGAAGGACAAGATTTTGTCTGTCTTCATGATCATTGTTGCTGTAGTGTCAAGTGTGGTAGCCATTTACAGTGATGCATATTCATTATTGACATAGCAAGGGCAATAAATGTACCCTCCAATTTTTCATTTTTAATAATGTTGCTTGAGGGCTCTAACTAATCAATTGAAACATGTCAGATATATTGTCTGAATGAATGAATTGTAGTTGCAAAGGCAGACACAAAGAAAGAGAAGGAAATTATGCTTCTGCAATCTCTGATTATAAGCTCAAGACTGTCAATTTTTTCCATTCATGTTAAATTTGTTAAACATTGCACCATGTTCTAATGATCTAATCACCTCTCTAATATGTAGGACTTACCTATGTAAGTTCATTTATATATACATATGCAAAGAACAATTGACTGAAACAAAAAATAATAATAATTTGAACATAGCAGAATGGCTTAATTTTCTTTTTTTCTTTTGGTTTCTCAGTGATGGGCACATGGTTATCAGAAATTGTAGAAATGCAAAGAGCAGGATAAAATCCCCAAATTTAATGAGTTTTTATTTACCAAAATATTTTTGTTCTGATTAATTTTTTTTTTATGAGCGTTTTTATTAAGAGGAGCGATAATATATTAAATTCATAGACACTAGGACTCGAACCCCATTCCTGGGTAAAACCCAGATATTGCCTTTTATTCCCGAAAGCGCACGTTATAGTCGCCGTTCTAAACAGTCTGAGACTCTTAACCCGCGGTTTCCGATAGCGGTGTTAGCACTAATAAAGCAAAAAATTCGTTATTGGCCTTTGGGTGAAACAGTTGGAACCCAATTTCCAATGGCTGCGAAGGAGGAGCAAGACGAGCTCGCCGAGTCTCTCAACGATCTCTTCACCAGCGTCTCCACCATGGTCAAATCCGAGCTCCAGGTTCCATATCTGAAACCCCAATCTTCAACCTTTTCAAATCGATTTCTGCGATCATCAATTGATCTAAGAACTGAGTACTTGTTGATATGAATTCATTTTGATCAGGGATCAACCAACCACCTGGACCTTTTGGAGAAGATGAATCTGAGAGTGGCCGAAGAGTACAAAGGCTTCGGCGACGTGGCCTCTGGGCTGAGCGTCTTCGTGGAGCAGCTCAAGTCGAAAAGCGGCAGCTTTGAAGAGTATGTGAAGCAGATTGACGTTATAGAGCAGCAAGTCACGGAGTTCGAAGCTGTGATTTCAGTGCTGGATAGATATGTGTCTATGTTAGAGTCCAAAGTCCAATCTGTGTATCAGAATCCGTCTCCTTCCTAAGTTTTAAGTGTTTGTGAAAATTATTTTGCTTTTGGTTTAAATTTTGTGGCAATCTGTGGGTGTTTTTTGGGTGTGAAATGCTTTGAAATTGGAAATGAAAAGTGCCCTGCTTGAAGTAAACACACTGTGTACATTTAAAAGTGGTTTAGAGTAGTTTTGAATTTCAATTGTATAAAAACAAAAAGTCTTTTGCACAAACTTCAAATTTTAGCAATCTGACAAAAGGTTTGCTTTGAGCAGTCGATCATAGAAACAGATGTGAACGATTGTCAACCGATAATGTACGTGGCATAAACGCAAGTATTCACCTTCTAAAGATGAAAGCAACCTTCTTTGAATGACTAATTTATGTATAATGGTAAAATGGCACGCAAGTATTCACCTTCTAAAGATGAAAGCAACCTTCTTTGAATGACTAATTTATGAATAATGGCAAAATGAACCATCCCGGTGTTTCTGCTATATAGTACAATTCTGCAACCAGCTGGTTCAAGTCATCAACAAGATAACTAACTACTATGTGCTTTTGTCAGCTTATCTTTCTGTGATGTTAGTTACAACGATAATAAGAGAACTTGCTACTTGTTTTGTAACGAGGAGGCTGCTTCTTCTTACGTCTTTGTAAGTTTTGCAGCATCATAGCCCGTGTTTTCCCATCTGGTTGCAGACCGTTCTCCCGCATCTTCGTGTAAATCTTCTTTGCTAATTCAATTTTGCCTCTTAAGCACATTCCTTGAATGGCAGCATTATAAAGAGACATATCTGGTGCAGCCCACTGCAGAACAAGTAAACATTATAGAGGTCATTATCTTTGGGCATTGAAGGTCTAAACAATCCCAAAAGAACAATAATGCATGGATACAATATGAGTCAATTGCACCATTGATAGAAAGAGTTTTTGAGTTTCACTAGAAAGAGTTGTTTTATACATAATTTCCATGGTATCCCATAAAAGCAATGATATGAGATAAGCTGAGGCACAAAACTAACATAGCCCTGAAAAAAGAAGCAAAAAACTTACATTCAGGATTTCCTCCACTTCATCCCATAGAGAACCCCAAATGCAACCCCTTATTAGTGATAGATAAGTAAATGTGTCTGGGGTGCACTTCTGGTGAACCATGTGCTCATAAACTTGCAATGCCACTTCAGGTTTTCTTGCCTTCTCACAAGCACTGATTACAAGATTATATGATGCAGTTGAAACTGACTGCCCCGAAGCTTCTAATTGCCACAAAAGCTTCAGAGCTTTATCCCATAGTCCGAGCTTTGAGCATGACATTAAAGCCATATTGTACAAATGTGAGTTCAATTGAGAGCCCTGACTTGTCTTGATACTCTCATAAAGCCTAAGGGCATCATCATGTCGATTTGCCCTATACAATGCACCAAGTAACGCATTCCATGTGTAAGCATCGGGTGAATGACCCAAAGATTTCATGATATTATATACCCTGAATGCTAGTTCAACCTCCCCAGCCTTCCCAAGTGAATTTATCAACGCATTGAATGCAACTGCATTTGGCTTGAGCCCACTGTCCAACATACTTTGAAAGATGTTTAGCGCAAGATCCCACTTTCCGTCCTTTGAGCATGCACCAATGATAGCATGCATTGTATCATTCCCAGGTTCAAATTTGTTTTGAATCATTTCATTGTAAGCATCAAGAGCTAGTTCGTGCTGACCACAACGAACAAAAATGCTAACTAAAAGGCAATAAGTAACTCGTGATCCAGTAAGGCCATTCTCCTTAATATGTCTCCATAATCTCTCAGTTTCACGCCAATTGTTCACTTTACCACAAATTGATATCATTGTGTTATAGACGATGGTATCAAAACTGTCGCTCACTTCACTTTCCTCTTCCATTGCCACAAACATTTCAATGGCAGAGCTGCAGCCCTCAGCAACCGAAACTGCTTTCAGTATTAAACTATAAGTATGCCCTGTGGCTAGCTTCTTTCTCTTCATAAATTCAAATACTCTCAAGCCATCATCAAGTAACTCATTTCTCAAAAGGCAAGATAATAACGAATTACATGCATGTAAATTAGGAAGCAGACCTGATAGTTCCATGGAAGTAAACAGTTCCAATGCACTTCTAGTTTTGTTTGTTCTACTAAGCACCAAAATCCGCTTTGATAACGTTTCTTCGTCCATCTCCTCTAAAAAGCTTACCCTATTTACATTCAATGAAGCCTTCCTTTTTAAACATGATTCGGGTTGAATGGGAACCTCAGGTTCAATATCCAAGTCCTCGTCAATTGCCAGCTCTCCCCATGGAGGCAATTTCTGCTTAACAAAAGAAGCGTCATAGCCTCCTTCTCTTTGAACCACTTTATCTTCTTCCTCTTCTTCACAAACCAAACCAGATTGGACACCAGCCACCATGTTTGGTAAAGTCAGAGATTTTGCCTTCCTTGTACATGCACTTGTCAAATTTATTGGCAGCATATTGGGTAACCACATAGAAACTAAACACTGACGAGAATGCCGATAGCCAATTTTACGCACAGAACTATTTGGGTTAAATGGTTTATGTTGGAAATGAAACCCATTTGACATAATCACTATGGAAACTGAAACCCTCATCACCTCCCCCATAACTGAACCCAGAATTAAAAACTAACACAGAAATACACAAAGATACAAACTCCAGTCTTTCTTCAACCATATGAAGTGGTTTGATGAGAAAACTAACCTCAAGAGCATGACCCAGTTTGAGAATTCAGCTTGAAAGATGAAGATGAAGCTCACGCCCCTGTTCCATCAAAACAACACCTTTCTCAAGCTCCAAGCAAGTATTTTTCATGGTGAAAAGAAATTCTAAATTGCAACAAAATTCACGAGTTGAGAAGACCAATAAAACCCATCAGCTGGAAAACTATAGCTTATAATTTGGTAAATTATGTTCCTTTTCTTCTTCTTCTTCTATACAGGAGACAGAAAAGAGAGCTTGTATCTCCATTTGCTGAGAGGGACTGCTTTGTTGATTCTGTTCTGGTAAATAACATCCAGATACGACAACGTTTTGTGCCAGAAAAATGAACCGCAGAGCGAACTCGTAACATTACAAATAAGCGCCAAAATCTTAACCCGGCCCATAGGCCCGGCCCATTAAATTTGGCGGTCGACGGCTCTCAAAGGCTCAGCGCCTCTGCCTCTCCATCTGTAGCACAATGACGACCGCCATGGCTCCTCCACCAGACCCTGTTCTTGACAAGCTAAGGAGCGAACCGGCCGAAACATCTTCGTCTGCAATTACGATGAAGCCCCCAATGGGTCCTCCACCTGCCAAAAACCCTAGCCCTCCGCCACAATCTGAAGCCCCTATCGCGGAAGACCAACCCCAATCCAATTCATCCATTAACGATTCAACAGAAGCAGCTGAGGACAATGCCAAGCAGACCTTGAAGCCCCAATCTCAAGGCTTTGCCGTTCCCTACACGATCCCTCCCTGGAGTGCAGCTCCGTGTCACCAGTTCCAACTCGAGGTCCTCAAGGACGGCGCTATCATCAACCAATTTGATGTGTAAGCTTCTTCTTCTTCTTCTTACTTTTCCATGGAAGTTAATTTTTCACGTTATGCTATAGCGTTGTAGAAATTGTTTCTGATTGAAAATTGAAAATTTCAGATATGAGAAAGGAGCTTACATGTTTGGCCGTATAGACCTCTGCGACTTTGTCCTGGAGCATCCGACCGTTTCTCGCTTCCATGCTGGTAATTAAGCACTTCTTTTTCCTTTACATTTTAACTTGGTGATGTTTTCATGTATGTATGTGTACTATAATTGTATTACATTTGATTTTATTATAGATTCAACAGTTCTTAGGCTTAATGCATTCTAAGAGATTTTTGCGCTAAATCTATAATGGTGACTTGAAAATTTTCCAGTCCTCCAGTTCAAGAGAAGTGGGGAGGCATATCTTTATGATCTCGGCAGTACTCATGGTACTTTCATCAACAAGAATCAGGTATTTCTATGCAGCTGATTGCTTTCCTCGCATTGTTTGTATGCCTTGAAACATTGGATTGTATTGTGTTGTGTTCCATGTGCTTAGTTTTTTATTCTTCTAATACATATTTAACATTAATTGTAATATCTGTCCTTCAACCTTGTTTTTGGCCTTCGGTGTTTTTTTTCTTCTTTCAGTTTTAAAATGAAAACTTGCATTGACCTGGTCCATCTTCAACCTGTTTTCAAATTAGGAATTAAGTTTGTACTGTGAACAGCTGGGGTTTTTGTATACTCTCATACAAAGGCTCTTGTTGCTATAAATTGCGAGTATTTAATATTGTTCCTAACAATTTTCTCCTGTCTAATAATCAGGTGAATAAAAAGGTTTACGTGGATTTATGTGTTGGTGATGTCATCCGTTTTGGGCAGTGAGTATCTTATTATCTTGATCCCAATCCATTCACTTCCTATGTTGATCCTTATTTTCCCATGTTTTATGACTTAAGAGTTCTGAATGCTAATCTATTAGGTACTTGAGTATATTAGGTAATGAGATTTAGGCATTTGACAAAGGATAGTTACTTAGGATTATCTTAAGGAACTCATCAAGGATTAATTTATAGGTGACTGATTTTTTACAGATAGTGCTCATAGCCAACTGCCAAACCCATTGATATGGACCTAGAATGTGTCATTGTGGAAAATACATATCTTTTCTTCTATGAGACACTTCTGATTATTCTTCTTTCTGTTTTTATATAGTTCATCTCGTCTGTACATTTTCCAAGGACCATCTGAGTTGATGCCACCGGTAAGACTTTCTTATTTAAATCTGTATGTGTTATATTTTTTTTGTTCACCTGATTATGAAGAATTGTAAGAGGAGATTTTTTTGAGCTACAGAAGTTAAGACAATGAAAATGAACTAAGCACTCAGAATATGTTAGCGTTCAAAATAGTTGCATTTTCTTTCAGAATAATCCTCAAGAATTTTCTCTACCTTCTTATCCACTTGATGACACTACAGTTAATTTTGTAAAGAGTATGTTAATGGGGTCAAGTTAGGTTTTTCAATTTATTCATGTCCAGATTTTGTTCACATCAAGCATAGTCAAATGGCTCATGCAAATAGAATTGGTACCACTGCTACCAGGAGGGGCTTGGGTTGCCTAAAAAAGATAGCAACCAAGTTAGGGTTCAAAGCAGAGCATATTCTCATGGATAGGTCATGGATTATTGTCTGGTTTTATATTGTAGGAAAAAGACCTGAAGCTTTTAAGAGTGGCCAAAATGCGTGAAGATATCCTAGATCAGGAAGCATCACTTCAACGAGCAAGACTGGAAGCTTCTCTTGCTGATGGCATCTCATGGGGCATGGAAGAGGATGCTATTGAAGAAGCTGAGGTATGTGGGATTTAATGATCACTTCCTTTTTAAATTATGTTTTGAATAGAGATTTCCTAAACTGCATTACATATCCTTCTATTTTCTTCAAGTGTGATGTTTTCTTTATGATGAATTGAAAGAAGATATTTCTATCATATATATCACTGACTTCTGTGGTTTTGGAATTTTAGGATGATGGTGAAGAAGTAACTTGGCAAACATACAAAGGACAGCTAACAGAAAAACAGGAAAAAACGCGTGAAAAAGTACTTAAAAGATTGGAAAAGGCAAGTGGTATTAATTCTTCTTGCATTTTTGTTAATGAAATGCTATCTCCCCTGTATGTTAGATCATTTGGTTGCCCACTGTTTATACCCTCAAGATATTCTCCCTGCTTTTAATCATTGAAATGCTATCTTCCTGCATGTGTTAGGTCTCTCTGTTGCAAATTGTTTTTACCTTCAAGATGTATAGTTAGCATCTTATTGTTTCGAGGTGTGTATATTGCTTGGTATTGGAGAAAAGCAGTTCTTGAATTGGTATTCAGAAAAGTCACAAGCACAACCAGTGTACCTGTTCTGACCATATTGAAACAGTATATGTTGCTTGGTGTTTGAGGAGAGCAATAATTCATGTACTTGCATTTTAATAATAGAAATAGTGCACCAATTAAAAATGGTTGAAAGTGGCTCTTGTAGTTCTTATTTATCGGTTTCTATCTTGTTTACCTTGTGGTTAAAGATACACTGCCTCACTTTGACAAAACTGACCCGTTCTCATTGCTTTCCATTTTTTCACGAGAATACAAAGAATAAAAGATTGGGAAACCTTTGAAGGTTGATGATAGAAAATTTGTTAATGCAGACTTGTTCTCCCTTTATCTAGAATGTTGAAATGGTTACCAATCAAATTGTCCTATTAGAAACTCAACAAGTATTCTTTATAAAGGTCCTAAGCTTTATGGTAAATCTTATTTTTTCTAATATCCTTTTTATTTCATTTTTCTTCTTGTAGATTGCTCACATGAAGAAAGAGATAGATGCTATTCGTGCTAAAGACATCTCTCAAGGTGGTTTGAGTCAAGGACAACAAACTCAGATTGCTCGAAATGAACAGAGAATAGCACAGGTAAATTCTTCACAAATAGGCATATGCTGGTTCATTTCTCCTTTACACTGGTAGTTGATAAACACAAGATTTTGCGTGTCCAACTCCACAGAGGAAAGAGAGGGGAAACTTCTGGTTAACATTTTATTTGTTTAAAATTTTAACAGATTATGGAAGAACTTGAAAATTTGGAAGAGACACTAAATGAGAGTATACGAGAAAGTTTGGGTGCACGTGTTGGGAAGCTATCTTATGGTAAGAAGAAAGGAGCAACTGACGAAGAAGAAGAACTTTTGAGGTATTATATTAATAACAAATACCTATCTGGAAGTGTTGGTACTTCTACTCTTAATGGTTGTGCAATAGAAAACTCAATTACAGCTGTGCAGAATGCTCGGACCATGTGAATTTGTTTGGATGGTTTTTAGATTTGATCAGGGTATTCTTATGATAGCAATCATGAAGTTGTGATTTCATGATTAACTTTGAATTTAGATGACTATTAGAAATGTCATGCTTTATTTGTCAGTAAGATAAGATTTCTGAATTTATTTGTAGTTGATGATTGTAATGATTTGTTATTTTGCAGCGATGATGATGAATTCTATGACAGAACAAAGAAGCCTTCCAGTAAAAAGGTGGGTGAAAACCCATCTGTTGAAACCTCTGATACTCTTCTTGACAAGAAAGATGCTATCATGAAAGAAATGGAAGAAAAGAAAGAATTGCTTTCAATTGAGAAAAACAAAATGGCATCAAAAACTACAGATGAAACTGATGCTGCAGATGCACTGGATGCATACATGTCAGGGCTTTCATCTCAGCTTGGTGAGTGTTTTGTGCTACCACTTATTGTTGATAATTGGTTATAGGTGAGTGTTTTCTGCTTTCGCTTATTGTTGTTGCTTTCCTTCTTGTTAGTGCTTAATAAAACTGAGGAACTCCAAAAGGAACTATCAGCTCTCCAGTCTGAATTGGACAGGATAATCTTTCTTTTGAAGATTGCTGACCCATCTGGAGAAGCTGCGAAGAAAAGGGATTCAAAAGTGCAAGAGATGCAAGAGTCAAAACCTAACAAATCTGAAACTCCTGCTCCTGCCATAAAAAAGCAACCTCCAATGGAACCAAAGGAAAGCAGCCAACCTGGAAAACCAGCAAATGACTCTTTACTGAAAGAGGGAACTACAGAGGTTAGCATTAAATCGAGCACAGAGCTGGCAGCTAACGAGATTGTAACTGATGCAACAGAAGGAAAAAACGTTGTGTATACTGTTGTAAAGCCACAATGGCTTGGGGCTGTTGAGGACAAAAAAATGGAGAAGGGTCATCAAGAGGCAGCACCTTCAAATGAGGACGAGGCTGGTGAATTCGTTGACTACAAAGACAGGAAGAAAATTTTGGAGAATGTCAGTGATGCTAAAGTTAACATGGAATCTGGGATTGAAAATGCTGCCCCTGGTTTGATTATACGGAAGCGGAAACAAGTTCATGAGTCTAAAGAAAATGATAGTGATTCTCGTCAACAGCCGGCATCCTCCACAGGAGCTGAATTCATGGCAGAGGATGCTGTGGCACTGTTGTTAAAACATAAAAGAGGCTATTATGCACCAGATGATGAGACCCAAGATGTTAAAGAAGGGAAACAATTGAGCAAGGATAAGAAGAAGCCTAAACGAGTTCTCGGTCCTGAGAAACCTTCATTTCTTGATACTAATTCCGATGAAACGTGGGTGCCTCCTGAAGGTAAAGCTATTTTGCTTTCCTGTTCTGTGTTATTACCTTCTATACTCGCTTTTGCGAGGTGGGGAGGAGAAGAGTACTGATTGCTGATTTGTTTTGTCTTTTTGAAAAACCTCGTTTCATGTTGGTGCTTATCTTTATGTTTCGTGCAGGACAATCCGGCGATGGACGAACTTCCTTGAACAGTCGCTATGGCTACTAGATCCGAATGCCCCCATGGTCACCAAGAAGTGACAGTATATTGCTTGAACCAACGTTTATGCGCCTAAAATGTCATGGATGGAGCAACAACTGGGAGACGCACTGATGGAGTTGTTTGGTAGCTCACGTATTTTGTAATCAGGTTGAAAGTTGAGGCTGGATTACGATCATGAAAAAGCAGTTTAGGGACTGATTGTATAGAGATGAAGACACAAACAGATCTCTGAATCACTGTTGCAAACCCAAATGTAAAACTTAGTCCGATCATGTACCTTCATACTTTCAAGTTTCAACCATTGCTTGTATCACTATCAATTGGAAAAGAACAAGAAAGAGATTAAGCTTCCAAGTTCTCTAACAAGGTTTGATAATATAATGCCAACAAGTACAATACATTTATGTATATATTTTCATTTCCGGTTGTTTTTATGTACGTCGTCAGATCATCATACAATATTTGATTGTACGATTGTGAATCCTAATAATCCATCTTAATGTCAAACTATGGTAATCGGGTGAAGAAAATAAACAATGAAAAGTCGAGCAAAATTGGCACGTGCGCCGTACTGAAAAGGACCAATGGGCAAATATTCCTGTTTATATTAGCAAATGAAGCAATCATATAAATCATTTGCTAATATAGAGATTTATTAAATTATTCATGATTTCTTTCATAAAAAATTAAAATAAAATTTCTTTCATGATTTTCAAGTTTAAAATTACTCGTATAACAGGCCCTTTCATTCATAGTCAAATTGTATTTTGATTAAATGTGAACGAATTGATTCCCAATTATTTACAAATCTGTTTAACCAAATTTGTCGCTCAAATTTACAAGAAAAGAATAAAGACATCGACATAAATCTGGGCCATGAAGTTTAGACTAGATATTGCTTGAATCAGCCACAAAGCTTTTGCATACTTCACAGGAATCTACACCATGTATACTTGACTTGCTGTATAAAGCATTATAACATCTTTGTTTCTCAGCTTCCTATACAGAAGAAGCTTGTTCCATGTACCAGCCTTGGATTAGCTTCGACTGCATTTACGTGCATACGGGTATTCAGAAACTCTCAAGTTAATGGTTGGCTGTACACAGGTGGCGTATGGGCACTGACATCTGAATGAAGAACCCTTTCCAGATATATACGGCCATAATGCAGCGAGTCTCTGCCTGGGTTGTTCGAGCAGGCAGCTTCCTTCTTGGCATGCTCATAGATAGAAGCAGAGTGTGAACACCAGAGGCAGAACAGACGCAGTTTCAAATGAAAGATAACTCTCTATCTATTAGTTAAAGAAATACGGCGACTCTAAGACATCCCTTAAGTCAAAGTCACCCCGTTCAGGCAAGGGGGGGAACATTAATGCGGGAAAGGACTGCTGAAAGCTCTCCAATAACTGGACACAAAACAGATGATGGGTTAGATCACTAAGACAATACCATAAAATAAAATTGTTTGCATCTTCAAAGAATGCAGTTGTGATGCTTCATGATGGCGTAAACGTTTCTTTTCAATTTAAACTTGAAAGGAGCATTTCAGAAGAGAAGATACTGTACATTCTCTAGTATTGGAGTCTCATAGAGTTCGACAAACTTTTCACGAAGTATCTTGTTCATTTCATCCACGTCACACGCATGTGTCCAGTATGAGTCATGAACTCCTGTAATCATATGTTATTACATAGCTATTATAAGTGTCTACGTGCCCTGAGAGAGAGAGAGGCAACTAATTACAATGGAGTGCACAAGAACAGACCTGCAAAGCTTAAGCCTGCCTTTTTACAGGCAATCGCAGTCATCATCATATGAGAACTATCAAGAGAATGAACAAAATTTGGTGGGAAAGCCGTCCTCTGCCTCTTGACCATGACCTATCATAAACAAAATTTAGTTTTAAGATTTGAGGCTCGGAAACTTAAAATATGTAAAACAATGCTCATTTGGCGATTTCTTTTTTCTTTTAGCCTTTATTGCCATAACGATGTGGTTAGTTAAACTTGTCAAAAATAAAACAATCAGGCATGAGGCAACCCAAAGATGGCATGATTTTTTTTGTTCCTTTCTTTTTCTAAATACAAAAAGACCGATCCAAATTAACTTCCATTATTCCAATGATGATGTGAAAACTACTAAGGGAAGGGCGTCATAATGAATCAACCATTTCACTACCATAGTTCTGTGGAAGAAGTTTTTGCACAAACATTAATCTGAAGGATTAACCAGTGAGAAGAGAGAGGAAAAAGTCCTCTGCTGCCACTTCCTGGGGCAGGAGGTGGAGAATTGCATAATGCAGGTGCAGAAATTTCAAATATTCCTTATCAAATTGTACAAAAGAAGAAAATATAAGTAAAAAGCACATGGTTGGTGTCCCGCGTATGAAATGAAATAAGACAATGCGTTGCTAGCAAAATCCTTTCAGTCTTAAAAACTAGAAAAATCTGGATATCTCAACTAATGTGATTATGAGTGATATGAGTGTGAGCTTGAAAATAACACTAAATGGCAGGACTAAAAAGATAGAATTACCAACGATGAAAACTACAGTACCTTTTCTGTTTCTCGCTGTAACGTCAAAACTTGAAGGGAAGTTTTAATCTGCAACAAATTTAACCATCAGTTAATGATTGATTTAAACATTTAGTAACTATGAATACAATAAGAATATTGACAACCCTTGTTGACTTAGCGGAATTTGTAATACTCACAAGATGCCTTCCGAATTTACGGTAAGGTTGCACAACTGGAAGTCCAAGCGGAGTTGTCCACCGTACCGGTTGGTTTTCAGATGCAATTATCTGCAAATCAAGAAAAAAAAAATCTCAAAAAATCAGGAAAACATTGGCACAGAGAGAGAAAAACAAAAAACAAAAAAGAGGAATCTGCTACAAACTTTTGCACATTCGCCAAGCCAGCTCATGATACCTCGTGCAGCTTCAAACATCTCTCCTAAAGCAGTTAAGGTGATCTGCCAATTATATACAGAATCTTGTCTTACAAAGATAAAATCCACATGTACACATGGTCACGTGCATATGAGAAATTATTTCTAATTACATGGAGAAGAAAAAGGCACCCTCACAATATGAACTTTCTATTACCTTTGCAGCATAACAAGCACAACCAAAGATCTCTGCATCATCTGAAATGGAACCACGTTCCTTCAACCTCCTCTTGATTTGATCCCGAGCACCAATGTAAGTGACACCATATACTGATGTCATCACAGTCTGCTTCACCAATTTCCTATCCACCTAAAGTATGGCCAGCCATCAGGGTCAACCATCAGTTGCACGATATAAGCAGTAAGTCAAAGAAATGCCAGTTCACACAAAGCAATCGGACGACAACCACATATTTTCTGATATATCAGTAACCCGCACATGTTTTGTTACGGAATTTGAATGATATTAAGTTATTAACTCCAATATCAGGTTATCCACTTTGTTTTAGTAACATATGCATCAAAAGAATGAACTTAACAGTTGTAAAATGAACCTGATTAATTAATAATTTTGCACGCAATGCCTCTGGAAAAACTACAGGATCCTTCTGTGCATCTCTTCTCATGATTTCCAGTACCCTGCACCGTGAATTTGATACTTAATTATCATAATATTACTTACTCATGACATGATGACAGCTTCCATGGAAATTGAGACAAATAAAACTCGTGTAAATTATGGGGTTCTATACCCATCATGTGATGGAAACCTACACCTTTGTCATAAACCGCTTACCTAACAGCTATTCCTGAGTAAACATCTGCAGGCTTCTCTCCTGTAACCAGATTGACAGAAGCTGCTCCCAACTGAATGGAAACTTTCCAATGAGACAATATATATGAAACAAATGCATGCAATTTCTGCTATACCATAGGTAGACAAGGGAGGGAGGGAGGGAGAGGGTGGGGGAAAAAGGTGAACCATGTATGACCTACTGTAAAATAAAATTGAAAGAAAGAAATACCTTGTCTCTTCCAAGGGCAGCATAGTGTTGTAAACCATTGCACGAGCCATCCTAGAGAACATCAGTTAAAAGCAAGAAATGTAAACATAATATGGTTTAATGAATAATAAGAGGGCAGGCACAATTTATATTAAAAAGAGCCATTGCTTAAGCAAACAGTCCCTCATTTGAAAAACACAAAATCACCTGATAAGTTCCCTATAGGCTACCATACTAGATAATTCCAGTATCCAAGTACTTAACTAATGGAAACAAAGCCATCTAAACCTACTTCTTGGGTTGTTTCAACATAGACCTCAAGGAAGGAGGTTATGAGTATAAGAAACAAATCCCCTCAGGATTCCCCTACCCCACCCAAAAGAAGAAGCCGAAAGGTATGTATGCATGTGTGAACAGTCAACCGCAGAAAAGATCTATGCCTTACACAAAGCATAGATCTATGCTAGCTTCCTTTACACAAGGCGGTGCACACATTTGTACTTTTCCAGTTTAATTCTGTTATAACTTATAACTCTTAACACAAGAAAAATACATAGAACACAGAATCTCCTTCAAAAATGTCCGAAACCACATAATTTAAACATCCAAAACTAATTGATTACTTGTGGGGCTCCCTTTGTGAAAGTACCTGATGTACAGGAATATGTGAAATAAAAGTCTCTGGAGAAGAGCTTCTCAAAGCTTCAGCAAGGTTAATGCACACAGCCAAGCATTGAAATGGATCTTCTGCCTTCAACCACCAGCGCCTTCCTTCTAGTGGTTTGTCCACAGAATCAAATATATCATCTAAGTGATTCTCAGTAAATGCTATTCGCCCCTCAAGAGATAATTTGTCCACACCACCAGCATATAGATTTGCCAAGTGTATCTTCAACCAACTTAAGCCTGACTTTCCAAGGGGGCGTCCCTCTTGAAACTCCACAATACCCCGGCATAGATCTGAACCGAGATGATTCAAGTATGGGTGCATAGGATATGCACGGCCCCGAAAGTCAAGATTGTGTGGATAGTAAAAACCTTCTTCATCCTTCATCTTCCGTGCTACCTGCTCCTCCGTAAAATGAGTTTCACATATTCTAAGTATGTTATGGTTAATGACTTCACAGAAAGTGAAATAAATCTTACAGCTAGTTTAAGTTCTATGTCACAACGCTGTGAATGCCTCTCCATGTTCTCTTTCTTCACAGACTTCACCTTCCATTTCCATTTCTTAAGCAGTGTTTCATCTTCAGTATCTGGTTCCTCTGGTAAAGGAACCTGAAATATGGAAATATCAAGAAAACAAGCTTCAGATCAATTTCAATGAACTAAAATTTCCTGAGATAGCACAAGATTAAT